GCGAGGCCGGGGAGGAGGCTGTGGGGGAGGGAGAGGCGAGGCCGGCGAGGAGGCTGTGGGGGAGGGAGAGGCGAGGCCGGGGAGGAGGCTGTGGGGGAGGGAGAGGCGAGGCCGGGGAGGAGGCTGTGGGGGAGGGAGGGGTGAGGCTGTTGAAGCTGTGGGGAGGCACAAGTGAAGCTGTGGAGGAGGCTGCGGGTGAGGCTTTGGCAGGCACAGGAGCTGGTCCCGGGCAGGCTCAGAGGCAGGAGAGAGGAGAGCAGGGAAAAAGGATCAAATCCGGGGCCTCCTTGGAGGAACACTCCCTCCAGCCCCCAGACGGAGCTGCAGGGTCAGACAGTGTTCAGCGGGAATGTACTGGGTGTGGGGGCAGGGAAAAAGCAGCCTCAGCTCTTCTCTAAAGACCTTGGAGAAATTTTACACCCAAACTATCTATGTGGGAAAACCCAGGCTGCTGGTACAGATTGTGGTCTCAGAGAAGAGTTCTGCTTGCTATGGGGTGGGGGACCCAGCACCTGCTCACCCCAAGGCAGAGGCAGGGAAAGCCTGAGGTGCTCAGGTGCCTGGGCAGCCTGTTCCCGGTGGAATGTGAATGGGGGATGGATCTATCTGCACACACCGGACAGGGATCTCCTCAGCACCCCTGGGAAATCCACTCCATCCCATCGTCCTCGCATGGACGACACCCACGAATCCTGAGACGTGTGAGCAGAGCGGCCGCATGGCAGAGAAGTGGAGCCCTGACTCCAAGAGACAGACAGGGTGGGCATCAGAAGAGGGGCGCAAAATATCCACCAGGCTCGCCAAGAGAGTCAGGAAGAACAGGGTGCGCTGAGGAGCATCAGAGAACAAAACCCTCTCAGAAACCAAGACTGTCGCTGGGGACAAGCAACTCACGGGAAAGCCTGGAAAATGAGGGGGAGGAAGTCTCCTGGAACAAGCAGGCAGGAAAGGAGGGCTCCTGAGGCCTTCACCCCTAAAGACAGCCGGTGTGCGGGGGTGGGCGGGGGAGGCTGCACATCTGAGTGTGAAGGGCATTCGCGGGCCACAGCCCTGCAGGTTCCAAAGGTTCTGCTGTGAGTTGAGGCAGGAGGTGGAGCGGAGCCTGCCCTGGGGAGGACGGATGCCTGAGTGCTGGCTACAGTGTGAGGGGGTGGGGAGGGCAGGGAAGGGGCTCTGGAGCCACACCTGGGGGGTCTCAAGGAGGCAACTCTGCAGCTCCATGTGGACCTCCCTAGCAGCGTCAGGGACAGCCCCTGGGCGGCTGGTGGTAGAGCTGTGTTGGACTGCAGGCGCGGAGGGGCGGCCCCAGGATGAGACGCAGGTGGCAGGAGCTGCTGGCTTCCAGGAGACCAGAGAAAGTAGTTTGATGTTCAGGTTCAAGCTCCGACATCCAGGCCAATGTGCACAGAATACCTAGAGTCATGAGGATGGAATTCCCAAACTTGGGAACGGAAGTTCCCACACACGCACAGCATCCAGGAAAGGGTACCCGCCATCTGAACCGTCCAGTTGGCCCAGGGACAGCCCATGGAGGGCCTGGCCCAGATCAGGACTTGGCCCATGGTCAAGGATTCAGGGCCAGTTGGTTGGGTTTTGCAAAACGGCGCTACAGTTTTTACAACACTGTGTTTTGAAAGTAACTTAAAATAGTGCCTTTTGCAAAACTGTGTCATTCTTTCACTGAAAACCTAGCATTTTTATTTTAGGAAGGTTTGAATGACACTAACTTACATTCAGCAAAAACGCTCTAATTCAACATCAATCCACTGGAAACTGCAGAGCAGCGCAGAACGTGAGACAAGTCCCCCACTGACTGCGTAATTATTATTCAGCTGTACACTCTGAATCCGTTTTTCAAATCCAGCTTTTTCCTGATCCCTTGCGTCCCTAACTACGGGGCTTTTGTGACTGGAGTTCCCCTTGGGGAATTCAGAATTCAGGGTTTGTTCTCTCTTCTGTTTCCTTCACGCACCGAGCCAAGCCCAGGACTGCGCACCAAGGGGGCTTTCATCAGGGCTGCTGAAGGAGACACCAGGGCTCCAGGGGTGGGGTCCAATGCCGTGCAGCACGTGCAGCTCGAGTACCGGCAAGCATGCGTGCAGACTTACGCACCGGCACACACGTTCACCTGCACACACATGCGCATTCATACACACAGACATCGCTCTCATACATACATGCACACACACTCACCTGCACACATTCACATGCACAGACATCGCCCTCATACACTGATACGTGCACACAGACTCAACTGCACACATGTGCGCATTCACACACAGACATCACTCTCATACATTCATACACACATGCACACACATTCATCTGCACATACATGTGAACATTCACACACATACACACACCACTCTCATACACTCATACACATGCACACACACTCACCTGTAAATATGTGCGCATTCACACACACAGACATCACTCTCATACATTCATACACACATGCACACACACTCAACTGCACACACGTGTGCATTCACACAGACATCACTCNCGCATTCACACACACAGACATCACTCTCATACATTCATACACACATGCACACACACTCAACTGCACACACGTGTGCATTCACACAGACATCACTCACTCATACACACATGCACACACATTCATCTGCACATACATGTGAACATTCACACACATACAGACACCACTCTCATACGCTCATGCACATGCACACACATTCACCTGCACACATGCACATTCACACACATAATAGACATCACTCATACACACACTCACCTGCACACACATGTGCATTCACACAGACATCACTCTCATACACACATGCACACACACCTCCACACGTGCATTCACACACATTCATACACACATGTACACACCTGCACAGACGTGCACATTCACATGCACACAGACATCATTCATACACTCATACACACATGCACACACTCCCCTGCACACACATGTGCACATTCAGACACACAGACATCACTCTTATAGACACACTCACACACAAATATATACACATTCACCTGCACACACATGCACACATTAACACGCACAGACATCAGTCTCTTACACACACACACATTCACCTGCACACATATGCACACATTCACATGAATACAGGTATCACTCTCATACTTATACACACATGCACACATTCACCTGTACACACGTGCACACATTCACACGCACACATTTTTCTCATGCAGACATACATACATGCACACATTCACCTGCACACACGTGCATTTCACACATACACAGCCACATTACATGCATACAGACATCGTCCTCATTCACACATGCACTCACACTCACCTTCACACATGTGCACATTCACACACCAGTCATATAGACACACTCATACACACATGCACACATACATGTACACACTCTCATACATACGTACCCACAAGCATCCATGCAGACTCTTGCACAGGTTCACACACTCACCTGCACAAAAATGTGCGCACACTCACATGCATACATACATTGCTGTCAAACTCATACACATATATGCACACACACAAACATATGTACACACATATATTCTCATACACATGTACACACATACATATGTAAACACCTATACACGTGCACACTGGCACACATATACAAATACACATATGTACACATAGACACAACACTCATACACATGTACACACATGCCACACATGCACACATACGTGCACACAATACATCCACACACATCCACATGCACCTGCCCACATGTACATACATGCAATACACACATGTACACAGCACACACACATATGTATTCTCATACACATGCATTCTTGTGCCAGCTGCTCACACATACACACACACACAACCACACACATATGCACATGTGCCTACTCTCGAGCATGCACATACACACATGCATACACACTCACACGTGCATATGTACACACACACATGTACACTCTCTCTCACACACTCTCTCTGCACACATACACAGAATGATACACGGTGAGTCTCCACAGACCCAGAGGCCCACAGGTCTCATGAAGTGGAGGTGACAAAAATTCCAACGTGTCACTGTCATGGGACACTCGGTGTGTGCATGAGACATACACATGAAAGCATCTCTGAAGGAGGGCTGCTGGAATGAGAGTCCGCCATGGTCCATTTATCACGTGATGAAGCCAAGCAAATTATTCATAGACAAGAAAAGTCACCAGGGTTAGCACTGGGAAATGGAAAATTGCCCCAAGCCATCTATTTTGAAAGTCAGAGCCTGCGCGTGCGCGGGGCTCCCATCTCCCAAGATAGAACAGAGGAGGCAGGGAGCTCGGCCCAACAAGGACACGGGGAGTGAAGGCAAAGGGTGCCAGGAAAGCCACGAAGCCACTGCGGGCCACAGCACCACATCCACCAGGTCACTGCAGCCTGCCGACACTAGAACCTCCGCTCTCTGGCTGTGGCTTCTCAACTCAGCAAAACTGAAGCCCGACTCTGACTTGGCCTTGATTTATTTTGCTTGGTTCTACATTGGATACCCAATTCCTGTTTCATGGTTCAAACATTTGAAAAACAACCCTCAAGATAAAGCGTGTTCTTCAAAAAGAATTTTAAAAATGTAGAAAGGCAAAATGAAGAACCAAAGCCAGTGATGATCCCACTGCCCCTAAATAACCCAGGCTGCCCTGGGTTGCCACCACCCAGCAAGCCACTTGACGTCCACCCACTCAGCAGGGCTCAGAGTGAGGGGCCCCCAACATCCAGGCTGCCCCTCAACTACGACTGTGCCATGTCTGCACACAACAGCACGGCAAACCCAGGACCCTAAGGGGCCGTCTTTCCTGCACCTAACTTCGTGTCTGAGTGTGGCCCTGGGTATCCAGCAGATGTCGGCTCCTGTAAGCTTCTTAGTGGTGAAAACTTTCTTGTACGTACAGCCTACAGATCAGACAGCTTCCAGAGAAAGCAGGGGCCTGGGCACGCCCACTACACCTGTCAGGGGCCACGCCGTGAATGCATCAGACTCTCGGCCACACGGCCTCTGTCCCGACCACTGGGCCTGGCTCCCCAGGAATGCTGCCCCGAACATCACTCAGGTGAGCGTGTGTGCCCATACTGCAGTAAAACTGTACTTACAGGCAGGCACAGCAGCCTCCATTCACTGCTAATATTCCTGTCTGTGAATGAAAGATTGAGGGAGCCCTTTCAGATGGCGAGAGGTGTTAGCAACACATGGAAGGGTGGTCAGAGCAGAGGTTACAGGACGTGAGTGATGACTTTTAAGACACTGAAAATATGATATCTCAACATTTTCATTTGCTAATGGCAGATACTTTGAGTGAAAGCACAGCTTTAGGAATTTAAATGAAACAAGAAAATACGGTGATAAAGTTTAATTTTTGTGGTCTGTTTGGGATCTTTGGTTTGGATGTATTCCTCATCACGTAGATGCGCTTTATCTATAGTCCCGGCTTAAAAGCCAGGAAGAGTTTAGGTCCACAAAGCAAGGGAAAGACATGGCCCTGCAGGGGTGGTGCCAGCGGGCAGCCGGCCAGGCCAATGTCCGCTGACATGCAGCCCTGGAGGGCAGGGGAGGACCAGCGCCTCCTGTCCAAAGGCAGGGCTGCGCCTGGCTCTAGCCAGTTGCTGGCCCTGGGGAGCAGGCCCGCTGGCCGGAGCTTCTGCTTTTCTAAGACTGGCCGGAAGTGGGGATTTTGATGTCAAGTTGCTGGACCTTTATGATGAGGACACCTGTTCCCACTTAGTCCACTTTTAATCAGACCAGTTGGCAGGAGCTGCCCTGGCGGCCACCTGCCCCACAAGCAGCCGTTCCCCTCACTGCTGCTTCTCTTCCACCTAGAAGATAGCCCCTCCCAGGCCCACGGCACCCATGCCAGGTCCAGCTGCCTCTGCATGATGGCCACTAGGTGGGGACCTCCCTAGGCAGGAGGCTTGTGCCACTGTGGTGCCCGCTGGTGCAGCCCAAGAGGCCGTCCGCTCACAGCCTGAGGGTCTCGGGGAGGCCACCATGGGCTGGACCAGAGCTGAGGGTCTGAGGCGGGAGGGGTGAGGGGGCTGGCAGTCTCAAAGCCAGGAGAGGGTGCCTGGAAGCCTGACTTCCATCAGCCACAGGGAGCCCCGGCAGGTTCTGGAGCAGAGAAGACCCGGGCGTAGAGGGATGCCTAAGCTCAAGGACATAAAACAGTGGCCACGCGGCCTGCAGAGCCCTGGAAAAGGAAGGCTTAGGGCAGGACCGCAGCGGAGGCGCAGAGAGGGAGGCAGCAGGGAGGCGGCAGGATCCCTGCTGGGAGCGAGCAGCCCTGGCGGACGCTGGGCTCAGAAGGGAGGGACGAATGGGCTAGGGTGGACAGACACAGCCCCACTGTGAGAACAGTGTTTGGCCGATGACCCCCATGAGCAGAGCACAGCACGGGTGCAACTTACTTCCTCCACAGGGCCAGGGGCTGCTCGGGTTCCTTCTCCGCAGAGCCCAGGGATGCAACAAGTGCTAGGGGCCAGGCCAGCAGCATCATGGCGGCGGCAACCAGGAGCCGGACCGGGAAGAGCGTCAGCGTCATGAGGGCCACCTGCAGACAGAGGGGGTGTTATCTGGAGAATTCACGCGGGACGCCAGCCAGCTCCCCACCCGGCGGAGGCCAGCCCAGGGGGACAGTGTGCCCTGTGGAGTGGAGAGCTGGGGAGGGGCTGCAGCCGGCACACAGCTGACCAGCGCTGACCCAGGCAGAGTGGCACTGAGCAAGGCTGACCCAGGCTGACTGGCACTGAGCAAGGCTGACCCAGGCAGAGTGGCACTGAGCAAGGCTGACCCAGGCAGAGTGGCACTGAGCAAGGCTGACCCAGGCTGACTGGCACTGAGCAAGGCTGACCCAGGCTGACTGGTGCTGGTGCTGACCAGCCCTGACCGAGGCTGGCTGACACCCTCCATGCCCACTACCAGCTTCCTGCCTCCTTACAGGAGCCACCATGCAAGTGCCTTGGGAACCACACAGTGGAGCTCCCTCCTACAAATTCAAGGGCCCCTCTGACCCATGGTGCATGCCCCCAGGCAGCTCTGTCCCCCAGGATGCACTCCCCACCCCCTGGGCCTCACTCAGCAGTTTCCCCTGAAATCGTTTGGGTGGACGTTATAGTGTGTACGCCGGCCTGGGCAGTGTTCGTGACATGGGGAGGTAGCTGGCCTGGAGCTTGCAAGGTTGGCCCTCAGACCACAAAGACGGCAGAATTAAGGTGTGGCTTTCCAGCCCGTGGAAGACCCAGTGTAGGTGAGTGGACTGGCAGGAGGGCAGTGGCCTAGGACAGTATGGGGGCTCAGGAAGGCCCCAAGCCAGGGCAGGCTGAGGCTACAGGATCCCAGGCAGCCCAGGGTCTGAGGATGGAGGTCTCTCTGGGAGGTGGGAGGCCTCCGTGCAGAGGGGCCGGGGACTTTGGGTGAGGGGAAGCACCAGTCCTGTGGGGCAGGTTTTGTGCACAGAAGACAGAGAAGACTGAGGAGACACAGAGGGCGGCGGGCTCCCCTCGCGGCAGCCATCCCTAATTTCTGACACCTGTCATGACAGTGCTCCCACTGTTTCCTGGGTTTGTCCCTAGATTCTTCTGGGTTCTCAACTGAGACCAGCAGAGCCCAAGAGAAACTTAATGCCGGCCACATGCGTAATTTTAAATTTTCGAGGGGCCACATTGAAAGGTAATGATGATTTAATATACAGTTCATTTTGGCCAATATATCTGAAATATCATTTCCACACATACTCAATGTAGAAGTTGCTCCTGGCTGGTTTGCGTTTTCTCACGCTGTCTTGGATGTGCAGTGTGCATTTCACTGTCACGGCCCACGCCATCTGTGTCTCCACCCCGTCAGAGTCCAGTGGTCAGGCCAGCCTGTCGGGCGCAGATCTAAACGAGGTTTGCTTTGCGAGAGTTGACGATCTCTGATGTCACTCTCCTTCCTCTTCCTCTGCTCCAGGGGCTGCTCCTCACCCCGGCTGGGCCCCGCCTCAGCATCACGCTCACTGTGCCCAGCAACCACAAACCTGTTATCCTGCCACTGGTGACAAGTGTCACTGTTCAGCATCGTGCTACTGGCACTCAGCAAACGCCCTTTGCTGCTGGGAAACCTTCCCAGGCCTCGTCCTTCACAAGTTTTGTTTTGCTTTAAATCATGACTGGGGGGAGCTGAGCCTTATCAGAGGTCTTTCCCACCTCTATGGGAGAACCGCGTGCTGTTCCTCACTTTAATCTGCAAATGTGATGCCTCACAGCCAAGGTCTCTGATGGTGAGAGCTGCCTTCAGTGCTATGCGGCTCCCGGTTAGGGCTATTTCTTAAAAGGGATTGCTGGGTTTGCTGGCTAACAGGTGCTCGGGACTGTCGCCACCAGCTGTTAAGTAAGACGCGCCTGTCACTTCCTCCCGGCGGCTTCCTCGTGTGGTCACCTTATGAAACCAGTGCGCGGCCGTGCCCACCGGCAGCTCCTGCCTGCGGCTTCACTGCACCCAGCCCCACTGTGCAGGGTCTCTCCTTTTTCTTGGGTTAATCTCACTGTTGTTGTCAATGAGGAAACCGCTCCTGGAAGGTTTTGGCGTATTTTCCCCTCCGGCTACCAACCTCTCTCCCAGCTGCCTTTCAGATAACGGAGTAACGCTGCCCACCACACTCTCCTGCGGATTTACACCAAGCCTGCTCTCTGGTTTCATTTCTAATGTTATCTGTGTCTGCCTACCAAAACTTCTAAGCCGACGTCACCAGATACTTTTCTATTTCATTAATCTGTTTACAGAACCACTTTAGATTTGTTCATTCTCTCTGTTGTGATCAAATCATATTAATTTCGGCTCTTACGAGTTCCTCTTTCTTCTGCTTTGAATTTAGTCAAATGTTCTTTTTAACTTCTTGACGGAAAAGGCTGTGTGTTATTTTCAGAAATACCTTATTTCCTGATTCTCACATTTAGAACACAGCTTCCCTTGAGGACCACTCAATTTAATCCACGAGTCTACGGGCAGCTTTCCTTTATCTGTAAAATTTAGTTTTAACTATCGCGTCCTTTCCCATCTTTTGTTGCTGTTTCATATTTTGTTGCAGGGGAGGAGGATGCAGCCTTGGCCTTCAGCCCACCTAGGCATGGCTCCAGGGCCGCGGGCTGGGAAGAGGCCGCTCCGGAGAGGCTGCTGCAGAGCACACGAGCCTGGCTCTGCTGTTAAAGCCAACAGCTGGCCGTCTCTTCCCGACGCGCACAGAAACAAAGTTACTGCGCAAGTTTATTTCTTATTCCCATAAATTGTTCTTAGAACCTGTTGGCTTCCTGGGCACACACCATGAAGCGGTGGTAACCAGCACTAAGAGAACGTCTCAGAAGTTCCCTACTCCGACCCTGTGACCATAGTGCTCTCTGCCCACAGCCTGCTTCCCTCCACGGCCAGCGTGGCAGCCAATCCCACTACCAACACTGCTTCCACCACAGACAGTGGAATAAAATCACAGTAACCCATGGCATTCCTGAACCAGCACCAACTGCCAGGCCATTCCATCCCCAAACAACACCAGCACAAATGAGACCTGGGTGGCCAGGCCCTGCCTGCATCCGATGGTCAAGCTGATGGTTCCTTAGCAAATGGGGTTCACTGGGCCACCCAGAGGGGGATGCATTGCAGGACCACGTGAATCCCCGTGCCGGCTCCTGTGTGCGTCGGGGAAGACTGCACGACCACATGACCTTTGCCCCACACATCCCTGCGCCTGCTCCTGTGATCATGGGGAAGACTGTGTGACCCCCTGAACCTCGGCCCACACGTCTGTGTACCTGCTCCTTCGTGCACAGGGAAGACTGCGTGAACACGTTATCTACTGTGCCTGACCACATGACCCTCCCCACCCATCAGTGCGCCTGCTCCTGTGGGATCCTGGAAGGCTGCGAGACCGTGTGACCCTCCACCCACACATCTATGCGCCTGCTTGTGGTGCAGTGGGGAATGCAGCCGGTGCTTCTGAGCTCAGTGGCAGCTGCGAGAGGGGCCTATGAGCCACAGTTGCAATCGCTGACCATCAGCAACCAGGGCTGATGAGTGGAGGGTGGAGAGGGAACACGGCCAGAGAGGAGCTCCCAAGGCCTCCGGCAGTGCTATGAAAACTGCTTGGAGGGGGCCTCCAGGAGCCCCAGGCAGGAGGAGGTGCAATGCTCCTGGTGAAGAGCCCGGGCATCCCCACGGCTCTGCCTTTTCCCTCGCCCAGCTCTAGGCCTGTGTGCTCTTTCTCTGCCAGGCTTGGCCTGCGCACAGGAGCCGGGCGCCCTGACCAAGGGGAACAGGACTGGGGAGCCTGCTGTGGCTCCTTCCAGAAGCTTCTGTGCTCCCAGCATCTTCTGTCCACCTGTCTTCCCTACAGGCCCCACCCCTGCATCCAGCCTCAGGCCTACCCACTGGGTTCCCTCCACTCCTCATGCCCCCAAGCCCTGGTGCAGATGGGTTTGGATGGACTCTGTGGCCCCTGAGCCAGGAGAGGCCAGTGTGGCAGAGATGCAGATAGAAGCTGGCTGGGGCGGCTGCGGCTGCCAAGCCCTTCCGTGCTGGCAGGGGTGGCAAAGGGAGGTGCTGGGCAGGCAAAGTGTTCTTAGAAAATCCTGGCCAGACCAGAAACTCCCAGAACAAAGGCCCTCTAAGGAAGGGGGCTGGCCATGCAGTCTCCCAGGCAGCGTCACTGGAGACTCAGGGCGCCAGTGGCTGCACTGGGCACAGCCATTCCTCCCCGAGGCAGCTTGGCAGCGGCCAGAGAGAACAAGCACACGTGTACAGACCGGAAGCCATAGGGACGCCTGGCAGAGAGGGCAGGGTTTATAGCATAATCCTCACCCAAGCGAGGCCCCGCACCCTCTCCCCACCCAAATGATGCCCGGCACCCTGGTTCAGAGGCTCACATGGAAGCCCCCTTGGTGTCTTCACCAAAGGCAGCAGGGGCAGTGTGTGGCCCAAGATATCACTGCAAGTCGTGGACAGGGACAAGCAGACTGTCACATGGACAAGGAGGGCAGCTGTGGGGAGCTGGAGCAGCCACCGGGCAGTGTGGCCAGAGGCTGGATGGGGAGAGAGGGAGGGACTCCGGAGGGAGAACACGGCCCATGCTTCCAGTGTCCATAGGTTGGGCCACCACGTGGCAGCTAACTGGGGATGATGATGCTGTGGATGCCTGCGGACGCCGAGACCTGCACTGTGGCCCTCCCAAGACAAGCTGCTGATGGCTGTGGACCGGACCGGCTGTCACCACAGGAGCCTGATCACCCTGAGAAACGCCAGTTGGAGGAAGCAGCGTGGTCACTGTGTGTGAGCTGTAAGTGAGGGTGTATAGCATGATCCTTTGAGGAACTGTGTCTGAAGTCTGAGGCTGAGTTACTTCAGCTACTTGAAAGTTGGCTACAATAAGCTGTCCCTTTACAAAAGAAGGGGCATGTATGAGCACTGACAGAGACACAGTACGTTACGTGCTGAGCGGCCAATTTAACTTGGACTTGAACTTCCTCTCCTAACCTGGCACCTTTCCCCAAGCGTCCCTAGCATCCTCAGGATGTCCAGGCAGTG